ATACTATTCTTCTAATACTAATTAAAAAACTAATTTAGTACATATATATATATATATATATATATATATATATAAGATAATATTATTTTTATATATAATTTTTATTATTTTTTTTTATATATATTTTTGTACTTAATGATTCAAGATGTACCACAATTATCGATTATAAAGGTGAATGTCGTTTCGGAATCGGTGAAATGGAAGTGTTTACGAGTATCAGCCCGAATCTAGTGAAGAAATATCAATCATATGTGGAGAACTCAAGCTTCATTATACTTGATGGCAATCTACCTTTAGATACGATTCAATACTTACTAGAGCTTGCAACATATTCGAAAATTCCAGGTAAGTCATATTTGTATAAGTTTTTCTTCTCTATATATCTGTTTATTAAAATATTTCTCGTATGGTATAGATTATAATTTCAAAACATACGATAAAATTTGATATAATGAATATCTTTATATTTTTATATCAAACATATTTTTATATGTATTTTAAACATATTTTCTGTATAAAATTATATATAATAATTAATAAAAATAAAAAAATAATTACAAGGATATGTAATATTTTAATTTCAATAAATTATAAAGATTATTAGGCTATTGTAATATATGAAATTTTCTTAATTTATATACATATTCAATACATACATTCATAAAAATACTATAAAAAATGGACGGAATTAATTTCTAAAATTAGGCAGATCTCAAGTATAAGATGATGTCACATAATAAAGATATAACTATAAATATCAATTTGTTATTGATATTATTAAAAATAGTTAAAAATTGTTCTGTGACTAAATCCTTTTTTAATGTAACAATAGATTATATATATCCTCCTCTTGCCAATCCTTGATGACTTTGTAAATTGGGCTGCATTTGCATCACTAAATTATTAGATTGTTTGCGCAATCTATATCCGGCCTTTGCGTCTAAATACAAAAAAAATGCAGCTAACCAATGAAACATGAATGAAATAACTGCTAAACCATATGACCATGATAAATGATTAAAATTTGGATACATTAACCAGTCTCTGCGCCAACATTGCCCACCAAATATTGATACTGCTAAAAATAATACGGTACCTGAAATTTAAAAACCAATTGAATAAATAAATTTTATATTGTATAATAAATTAAATTTTATATATTACATCATATAATTGATGTAAAATTTCTATTTACCTGCTATAGCACAACATGAGAAAGCAGTAGCTGAAAGAATCCATTCATAATTCAATACAAATTTCAAAGGCCATCGAACTAAAGTCAATGCAATTACAACTTGTGCAAAAAATGAAAATAATAAAGCAAGCGTGACAAATGTTTGCACAATCATTAACCATCCTGGTAATAACCACTCTCTGATCACATAATATTCTTCTGAGAATATGTGATGACAACCATCAAATTGTTTATCAAATTGATAATATGGATATCTGAATTGTTCAAAACAATATTCCCAAAGTCCCATATGTTTAAAATTACTGAAAGTTTCTTCATAAGATTCAATCCAATATGGACTAAAATTAAATTAATTAATCAAACAAAATTTATAAAATAATTATAAAAAATATATATATATATATAAATTATAAAAAATATTCAATTTTAAAAATATTTAGAAAATACTACTTTTTTAAAAATCAATGTCAAAAATTAAAATTATTACCTAGTAAATGCCATAACCAACAATAATCCTGCAATATATGTAATTACTCCACCAAATACTACCGCGTCTAAAAAAGAATGACCAATTAATGGAGGTTATGAATATTTTTTTAAATAATACAATACAAAAAATAACTTTGTTTACTTGATGCACGATGATAATCTTGTTTATTAACAGACATTTCGATTGTTTATTGTTGTTAATTACTGAATATTACTGTATATTATTGGCATACGCCAATAAATCTTTTGTTTAGAAAATCCAAAAATAGTCCTTATCGTAAACTTGCCACACCTTTCATCATTTCAGTCTTGCCAACAATATGTACGATATCTTAACATGATCTATAATCAAAAGTTCAAAATATTTATATATTTGTACGAAAGGTATTTGTACAAATACCTTATTAAACGAATTACTGAAATTATATTGTATGTGTAAATAATAATTACTTTGAATATTTAATTTCATTTATTGAAAAATGCATATATTACAAAAAATATATTGTGTTTGAAAGTAGTTTTTTTCTTAATGTACATTCGAGGACGGATAATTAAATTATTACATATTGATATGTTAATATTTTTATATATATAAATTATTATAAATTTTTTATATATAGATTCACCATAGGCAGTGGATATTTGTATTATGAAGTATCTTATACGATGTTTAACAATTTCCTATATTTATAATAAAAAAAAATTTTTATTGCATACAATCGAGATTCCTTGATAAAATAATTAAGTATATTTCCATTTAATTTTACTTTATGCATTTAAATTTCAAAAATGTTAATAAATAACAAAAAACAATAAAATTAATATATAAAAATTTCCTTTTCTATACTATTTAGTATAATTTTACATAATATCTATGTATAAAACTTACAAAAATACAAATCTTATTATAATCATATTATCATATTATAATATACTTTGTACTAAAATAATAATAATAATATAAAAAATCTAATATTAACAATTAGCTAACATATGGACGGAATAATATTACAAAATTTTGGTATTAAAATATTGTGCAAGTCTTATTTTAAATCATGTACGAGATTCAAGCTGAAATCTTGTTTGAGATTCTTTTAAATATTCTCGTTTCTTACGTTGAATATTTGCTTCAACAAGAAAAAGTGCACCTGTTATGATAGTCAGTACACTACCCACAACTGCCATTATAAAAGACCAACCAAAAAAATTATTAGCATGTCCAGGCATCCAACCTTCAGTATTCCCAAAACAAGCAAATATAATTACTGCCAATCCACCACTTATACCACCAATAAGCAGTAGAAATCCAATTATCATAATAAGTTGTACATAATATTTTTGTTCTGGATCACAACACAAAGTGAATAATAATATCAATAGAAATGATATAAGACTTAACAGGAAGCACAAAGTAAAGAAAAACTGTGTTGCTATCATAAATGCTGTAACAAAGAAAAAATTAACAATTAATTATAATAATGTATTATTTCATTTATTAAATATGGTGAAAATAATTAAAATAAAAAGATAAAACTTACGAGGTAGAAGAAAACCAAGAATATCAGTATATCCTGCAGTAAAAGGATCATAAACCCATCTACAACCAACGAAAAAGCGTCTAGGTGCGTCCATTTCTTGAGGATTTGGAAGTGATCTGAAGCAATGAGTCCAAAGGCCTAATTTATCAAGTTTTGCACCAGTAATACGATAATCGCTCACCAACCATGCTGGTGTACTAAATGCAACGCAAACACACACAAAAGCAATGATAAAGATACCGACACCAATATTGCCGGAAAAACTTCTTTTTTTCATGATAAAAAATTGTTTTGTGAATACTAAAGATCACAATGTAAGACAATAACAAACAATTCAAATCTACTGATTTAAAGATCTCACGGTTTTAACCACACCCAAACACGCTATGTTGAGTAGTGACCATGTAACTTTCCATCTAACCTAACCTTATAAAATCATGACTATCCCACGAGTATAAATTATAATATAGTAGTTATAAAGAAAGAATTCTTAATTTGTAGTTAAAATATTTAATATAATATTATTGATATGTAAAATAATTTGATGAATAGATATTTATTATTAAATACAAACTTCAATCCTAATATACTTTTCTACCCTACTATTTTTTAAAATTAAAATTAAAAATTAATATTTATAAACTATTGATTTAATATTAAACTATTATACTATTATTTTAAAAAAATAATAAATAATTTTTAACAATTTTATATTTAATATATATAACAATTTTAATATATATAAAATATATATAGTAAATATATAGTAAATATATAGTAAATAATATATTTTATAAAATTACATTTAAAATTAGAAAAATTTCATATTAATGAAATATGTAATTAAAAAATGATTAAAAGAATATTAAGAATATTAAACGAATATAAAACGGAATATATTATTCATGAGAGATTTTATTTTAAATTTCTATTGTAATAACATTACGTAATTGATATTTCATTTTTATTTTTTCATTATTAAATTGTAAATGAAATAAAAATGCTAATATGTATTCTCTCTATTGTTTAATGTATTAATTATTAGTTTTAAATTTAATTCCTTTTCGAATTTTTAATAAATATTTCGAATTTTTATAAGTATATATAATTTTCAAGTATATATTTTGAAAGTACTAAAAAAAATTCCAAGAAAATTTGATATAAGTTTTTATATATATTTAATTCATATTTATCATCTTTAATCAAGATTTCAAAATTACGTTTTATTCTATTATGCATTAATTTATTAATTGAATTATAATTTACATGATTTACTAAAATATTACTATTAATATTATAAGAAACTAATGATATACTATACTATATATACTATATATATAAGAAATTGATATTAACACATTTTTCAGATATAATCAATATATGCGAAATTGTAGAAATTGTTGATGAAAATAGGGACTAAACTAGGTCAACAACTTACACCTGACGTCGATCTTCGTGCACGCAATCTTAGTCGTAACTCACGTTGAATTATTTGTCTCGATATTAAAATGGGTCACAAGCTTAGCGTGTGTATTCTTTATAATTATTTTTCTCTATAAATTTCAATAGTAAACAATTACTTATTAAATATCTACAAAAAACTAACAAAGAAATGTTTTTGTAGAAAAAAATTAGATAAATATAAAAAAAGAAATAAAAAATCTCTTAAACAACTTATTTTATTTCTTTTAACTTTTACAATACAATTTTCAATGTAAAATAATCCAACAATGTAAAATATTTATTCATATTGAAGTCATACAATTAAAATTCAATTAATACTATATTTACAAAGTCTTAACTTTCTCATAAGATCTCTAATTTATATGGACGGATTCATTACCATTAATTATATATAATAATATAAAATAATATGTAAAATAATAAATGCACAATAATATATATATATATATATTATATATGAAACATATTATAAAATGTATAAAATATTATTTCAATATTATTATTCCTTACTTTTCTCAAGAATCATTATAAGTTTGAAAGAAATTTTTTTTTATAATGTTTTAAAAATAATCACTATAAATATTAAAGTATATAAAGTCTTCAAAAAGTTTGTATAAATGATACATAAAATAATCTCAACTCAAAAAAGAGCTGTATATAGATTTTCAATATCATAAATAATTTATCATTCATTTGCATTCTTTTTTGATAAAGACATTATTTAAATAGTTGTATGTGTTTTTTGTTCTTCATTTAATATTCTTTCTTGTTTCTTTCTATGTCTACGACCTTCAATCAAAAACAATATACCTGCTATAACCAAAATAAAGCTACCAAGTACAGCTAATGCATAAGACCAGCTAATATCATTATGTTCCCAATTAGGCATCCAATCTCTACCATCACCTCGTGCACCAAATATTATAACTGCAATAATACCACATATTCCACCTAATACCAAGTTTCCACCAATTGTCCATAATAGTAACTGATATTTATCATGGTGCTTTGAACAACATGTATATAATATGGTTAAAAAACCTCCTATTAATAATAAAGTCAAACACAATGTGAAAAAGAATTGTGTTGCAACAAAAAAATTAGGCAAAAGTATATCATGAATTATATAATATTCTTCTTCAAACACCCACCAACAACCATAAAATTTAGTGTCATATAAGTGATGTGGATGTTCAAATCCATTAAAGCATACTTGCCATAAACCTAAAACAAAAAATATATTATAAGACAATATAAATAGCATATTTTAATATAATAATATAAAATAATATAAAATAACATAATAATAACATAAATAATATGAAAGTATTTTTAATTAAATTACCAATTTTTATAAACTTTGGATTTTCTAATTTTCCGTCTGTTTCAAGCCAATTGGGTGTGGTGAATGCAATTACAATTAAAAAAAATGCAATTGCTGTACAAATAACAGCTGCTTTTCCGTTTCGAGTTTTACCCATTACTATTTAGTTTTTTATTCAACAATATCACAAATAGTTCTTTTAATTTAATATTTATAAATAATAAAAATATTTTTTTATTTCATTTATAATGTATGGTTAGGTATCTATTATAAATATACTAAGATATACTCAATGAAATAAAAGGTTAATAGATGTCCATTTGTATGAAGAATTTTTAATGCTTTAACAGCGCTCCATGCTGCAGATAATATATTTAATTTTAGCGCCATTATTTAAATATTATTTTAAAATTAAATTATACTAATAATTATTTTGTGCAGTTTATTTTATAATATATTTATTCTAATAAAAAATATACATATAAAAAATGTTTTTATTATTTCTAAATCATAATAAAACATACATATAATATTGCACAAAATAATTAGTATAATTTAATTTTAGAGATATATATACATTTATAAATTATTGATTAATTATTACATTATTTATAAATTAAACAACAAAAATTAAAAATATTCATTTTTTTAGTTTGGTATGAACCTACGGATGTAAAAAAAGCAATGAAAATATTTGAAGCAAAGTTACAGTGGCAAAATGTTTTGCATTTTATATCACCAAACAGAAATGAGTTATTAGTCATTGGAAAATACCTTGGCATACCAATACCTGATAATAAATTAACTATGGACTTAGAAGAAATAAAAGCAATTGCAGAGCAAGTAGCTAAATTTATTCCAGTAATTATATGTACATTAGGGTCACATGGAGTCTTGGTAAATATTTAAAATTTGTAAACAAATTTCGAATAATGTAAATATAAAATTTAATAATTAAAATAATTTGTTATAGGTTGTTCGTAAAGCTTTGGGAAATGATCCTTTTTATGATAAAGAAGGTAAATTAATTATCCATAATATGTCCATCACTTCTCGTTTATATCCGCCTTTATCTTACGTTTCTGATGATCCAAATGAAACGTTTAATGTAAGTGGTTGTGGTGATTGTCTTACTTCTGGAATAATTTATGGAATTCATAAAAATTTAGATGAAATTAGCTGTCTTTCTTTAGCTTTAAAGGCTGCAGCACTTTCCTTAACTTCATTAGATGCAGTTCCTGCTTCACTTTCATTATTATGTAATGATACAAAATATTAATAAATAGACAATTTGTAATAAATATAAAAATTAATGATTATATTTTTATGTAAGTTCATTAGTTTTCTTTTTTCCCCATTTAATAACAAATTCAGCAATATTAAATTTTCGTTTACAACCTTCATAATTCATATATCTAATTTTTCCAAATATATCTCTTTCTGGCCAACCATGATCATGGACACCACAGATAGACCACATACAACCTAAAAAAACAATAAAACATATTTTTTTATGTATTAAAACAATCTTCATGTAAATAAAATATAAAAACTAATATAAAATATAATAAATATAAAACTAACCTACATAACCATTAGGATCACAACCATCTATACTATATTTATTATTTAAATAATTGGCCCATTCTAAAGCAATTTCAGGAGTTTCAGTCCATTCTAATATTTTCTTTGCCCAATACATTCTTAAGAATCCATGCATCTTTCCTATTGTTACCATTTGATTTTGACATGCATTCCATAAATCATCATGAGTTTCTGAATTTTCCAAATGATTTAAAAAATATATATATTTTCTTTTATCCTTCCTATATATAATAAAATCTTAATAGCAATATGTATAATATAATTTATAATAAATAAAATAAATTACCGATGTTTATTTAATGTTTCTATAGCCCAAGGATAGGCACCTTCAATCAGATCATATTTTTCATTATAAAAGCAAAAATTATCACTAAGTTCTTTTCTAATAATAGCTTCTTCCATAAAGGATTCAACTGACTTTTTATATAATTTTTTATATTCTTTTATTTCTAAAATACAACGTTGTACTGAAATCATGCCAAAATGAAACCAGGGTGATAAATTGCTGATGGCATTTGATAAAGGATTATTACGTTCATCTCCATATTTTTTTAAACGATTCTGTAAAAAATTTTCAAGTTCCTTAATACCATTTCTATATCCTGGCTTAGCCCATGTAATTTCTTTTACTGACTTATCTACTTCTACATTTTGTAAAGCTATTTTCCAATTGTTTTTTTCAAATTTTTCTTTTGTTGTATATGGATGTTTTATAACAGGTGGAAATTCTGTTAAAAATTCCTCTAATTTTGTATTTATTTTATTTCTAATTGTTTTAGCAGCAAATTCTTGTTTTGATGATGCATACCAACAAGGCACAATATTATGAGCATCTACCTTTAAAAGATATAGATATATTAATATATTATTTACTATTAATTATACAATTATAATTATAATTAATTAGAATAATATTTACTTGACAAATAGGAACATCTTCAGGAAGATTTTTTTTCACATTATCAATCCATAACATAGGTAATTTTAATGGATAAAAATCTGTAATAATAGCTCCCATATTATACATTTTTATAAATTTAAGAATACTTATATTTGGTTCACCATGTAAAAGATGAAAATTTATATTTAATTTTTTACATTCTGTTTCGATTTCTTCTAATCCCTTCAGAAGAAATTTATAATATCTTATAGAAGCATTAAGAAAGTTTGACATTATGCAAAAACATATATGAAGTGGTACATTATTTTTTAAAGCTGCTTTTTGTGCAAAAAGTAATGCCCAATTATCTAAAAATATTTAGAATTCTTTTTAATACTGAAAATACTATTAATATATAGCATATAATTACCTTGTATCCTAATATCGCGAAACATCCAATACAAAATACCATTGCAATTTTCCTTGATATCATTTAAATTACTTAAACGTTTAATACGTTTTTTATTAAACTTAAATGTCATGATAGATTCAGATGTCTAAAATACATTAAAAAATGATAAAATGTTTAAAGAAATATGTAATTAATTAAAAAGAATAATAATATATAGTAAAATTTACATTTTTTCTATTATCTTCAAATTTTTTTAAAAGATCAAGAACTTTCCTACGTTTAAATGGATTCGATTCTTCCATATTTTCATAAAACTTTATTTATATTATATAATATTAAACAATAACTTTTTTTTGTAAATTTCTTATAATGATTTTCAAACTTAATAATTATTAATTCATACTACGCAACACAAATTTCTCACATTATATATTCGTAAAGCACATTCGATATATACATTGATTTAGTATTAAAAACCCGCCATATCACTATTACTATATTAAGATTTCTGATTGGTTATTTCCTTAAATCAGATAAATTATGTTCATTAAATTATATATATATATATATATATATATATATATATATATA